TATATATAATATATATATATATATATATATATATATATATATATATAATACTTATATATATTATAATAATTTTTCAATGAATAAATAGAAAGCAATTTTGAAAATAATTTTTATAATTTTATATTAGAATAAATCAATTATATTAACTACACTGAAAATCTTATAACAACTAATATTAAATAAATAAATTATAAACATTAATTAATATTTTTTTTTTACTTATAAATATATTATAATTTTTATATATATTATAATTATATATAATTTTAAAATGATTTTTATACAAATTAAAAATAATTATATTATCAAAAAATATATCGAGAAAATTGATATTTATAAAATTTGTTTTATATATGTGTGTATTTGTATAATACATAAAAAGAACAGTATAATAAAAATTCATAACTCGATGAATGCGATGTATTAATATTTAATGTATACTTATTTAATAAATTTGCTAAATACAATAAAATTTATGGAACATCTTACACGTATACAAAATATATCATTTTAATCTTTATCTAATTATAAAGTTTATTTGAATTTATTTCTTATGGACATAAATTTTGCGTATACATAGATGATTTTAAGATTCTTTTTAAATTAAATTTAATTCATATTATATATATATTTTTTTTATCTTAAGTTTTTATATAAGTTTTTTAATAATTGGTCTTTTGATATCATTCAAAATCATTCATATTACAAATTTTTTTATTATATTCAATTTTATTTTATTATATTTATATTTAATATATGAATTTATTTTTTTTTTTTTATATATTCTAACTTTGAAGAATAGTTTCATTTTATATTTTTTTTTCTAATAATTTTGTAAATAAATAATTCTCACGATGAATTCTCTCGATAAATTATCTTTACAAAATATTATATTTTTATTGTCTTACATGAATTGTAAATTGTAAATAATTTTGAATGATTTTGGAAGACACATAATAAGAATCGTTTAAAATTTATGTTCAATAAATATCTCAGCTCAGAATGTTTTAAAACTAATTGATTTAAAGATAAAGATTTTTACTTGAAACTACTTTTTTTTAATGTCGAAAAATTTGTAAAATAATCACATGTAAAGATTAAAATGAAATATCTTGTATATATATTGTGTATATATATTTGTATACATCTAATATCTAATATTTGTATATATATATATTTTTATATATACTTGTCAACAGCAGGCAGTTGGCGCTACACATTATTCATTTTTATTTTAATGTTACATAAAAAAACTATAATATTAAATATTTTTCTTTTTTTTTTTTTTTTCCATTGAACATACATACAACCTCGAAACATTAAAACTACTATTGAAAATAAAAATTAATCAACTGTTTATTTCAATTAATAATTAATTAAAAATTAATTATTGTATTTATGACAACTACGTACACATCATGAGTTTTGTTAGAGGCTGCATAATTCTAATTTTAATATATTTTGTATTTTATTGTCCGTGAAATATATAGCGAGAAATGTAAATATTCACTTTTCAAATACTCAATAATTGAGTATTTTTAATTGAGATGAAAATATATTATCTATACTCAGAATAATGGAAACGAATAAATTCATGAAATATGCACATTATATCAATGTATATTTTTGTATATTATTTTCTTATTTAAAATTAATAATTTCAAAAACAACATTTACGATAGAATATATTTTAATGCAATGAATACACGTTTTTAATTTTTTCCGACATTCAGCAAAAAAATACATATGTAAATAATATATATAGATATAGCTACATACATATATTAATAATAAATATATTTCCTCTGTCGGAACTTATGACTATGAATTATTTGTACGCACTTTGGCGGAATAAAATGAGAAAATACAATCATTATCGCTTATTGATAATCGAAAAGCTTTTAATTTCGGAAAATTTTTATTTTGTTGGTAAAAAAAAAAAAAAAAAAAAAAGTAAAAATAAAAATAAAAAATAACCAAAAATAATGTTTTGACAAATAATTGATTACAATTAGAATTATTGCAGCGAGTCAATTTTGAAAGGAGAATGTATTTTTCAATTTGCGCGTTGGTCGTTTCGTCATTGCATACATATTTTATTAATTCATTATGAACACCGATATTTTATTATCGTTATGCACTTTCTTCTTTATCGATCGATCATAGAAGCGCAAAATTGAAAAAAATGCTTTCATTTAGACTCTTACAAAAACGTATTTTTCTATTTTTGTTGTAAGTTTTTTGTATATAATGAATCTCTACAAAAATTTTTTTCTTCCTTTTCTTCTTTATCATGTAATCAGTTCCACACGCTTGAAATAATGGGATAAAACACATCCCATTTGGCATGTATTTGTATATCTTAAAAATAATAAGTAATAACAGATTATTGTAATATTACACTAGAATTATTTCTGCACATTTCAATCTATTTCTCATTATTATCATAATACTTAACAATTTGCATCCATTCTTTTTTTTATGTACTATCACGTGGCCCATATTCGACGACTTATAGCAGAAAAAAAAAAAAAAAAATTTAATATTTTAACCTAATTTTTAAGCGCTTCGAAAACATATACAATATAACAATTCTTAAAATTTATAACAATACACTCGAGTATTTCCTCATTTAAAACTTTGCCAAGAGTAAATAAAACAATAATAAAGAATGAAAGCTAAGCTTCCCAAAGAACTTAAATATACGATTGCACATAAATTTTATGTCACGTGAGGATTCACATGATTAACGAGAATATAATTCGCATATAACAAAAAGATCGATTTACTTAAATCTTTGAGAAATAAAGAGTAGGCCACGTGTCAAATTATTGAAAAAAAGGAAAAAACGAATAATATACATGAGCTCCTATATAAATATTACATTACTTATTAATTATAAACATAGCTCAGTGTATACGCAAAGCTTTTCTCTAAACCACAGATTGATTAGTGGTAGATTCAATCGCAAAGTACATTTAGTATCTCTTAAATACTTTTTAATAGATATATGTTTAATAGATACATAT